ATAGAAATTTATAAATCCTCGGATATGTACATTAGTTAAGTCTGTTCACAGTTTTGTTATTTTTTTCTCGTTGTGGTCAAAACTTGGCTGCTGCCCTAGGTTCGGCGCACACGTGACAAAGGTCACGGTTGTTTCGCGTTTGATGCGGGTGGAAACGAAAATTGGCGAACTACGGCTTAACGAAGTTTCATCGGTGCACCCCCTGGCCGAGTCACGCGAGCAACAAGTGCCTTTTTTAGGCCGTCTTGTATAATCGTCAAGTGCCGGCTCGAACGTTATCTGGCAAATTAATCAACTGTCTGGCACGCGGCGGTGTTCGGTAACACTAGAACTTAACGAAGCGAAACTTTGTTAACCGTGAAGCGAGAAGACCGTGATTCGTGCTGGCCACATTCTGCCCTGTAATAATGATACGTTTTCGTTGTACGCGGTCGACGATAGTCGGCGAGCAGCTCTACACTGTTCTACACTGGAACGTCTCTCATCGGCTTCGTTTATTCCTTCGTTCCACTGGACATTTTTTCCAGCTAAAATAGCACGGTCTAAGAACAGCTTCGAAATCGTTGCACCAAATTATTTGTCAACCTTCCTTTTTTTCTAGTTCCGTTAATTATAATACCTCGATGTTACGTGAATTTAAGGCGTTGATTTTCAGTGTAATATGATTCGAAGGAAATTCGGAGGCCATATGCCACTAGTCAAAGGCAATTCAGAGGGCACATGCCACTATTCAAAGGCAATTCGGAGGGCACATGCCACTATTCAAAGCCAATTCGGAGGGCACATGCCACTATTCGAAGGCAATTCGCAGACCACATGCCACTATTAGCATCAACGTAGTAATAAATTACATAGTCACGAATCTAGCACAGGGAAATTCGCAGCAACCCGAAATATAGCATTTCCGGGAGAAATTACTGTATTATTTCGAAGTTAAATATCTCGGTAGAGCAGATGAATTTAAGGCGTTGATTTCCGGTGTAAATAATAAAACGTCGGACTCCGAAAGGTTTAAAGTTTCCAAGTCTGCGTCGGCACACAATTTCTGATTTAGTCTTCGCTACGAAATGGGGCTTTAGGGATCAATTGCGGGGAAGTTAATATCGGCCGGTGCCACGGGAATTTCTTCCCGAGTTTCGTAAACGATAAAAAATAACCGTACGACCGAATTTCGGCGTGGCAGGTTCGTTACCGGCTAGACGTTTACACGAAATTGGAGAGAGCCCAAGAATCTAGGGTCCTTGGACCCAGCGCAGTAAGGTTAACGAAGTTTCGGCTCATTAGACTGTGCAATCATGAGTTGTACGCCTCGCGATCGATTAAACCTGTCGCGGCGAAATCGATTATGAAGATCTAATTACGCCAAAGTATTTCGATTAACTTCCCGGCGTGTTGCTCGTCCGAATTTCCGTAACTACCATCGCGGAATAATAATCGGCGGCCAAGCGCCCGGAACAAATTCAACCTAGACAAAATCTCTCGGAAGACTGTAGCAAGGAAGACGCGTGTTTTCGTCCAATTGTCTCGTCGAAAGTTTCGTTATTGTCGCGGTATTATTGACGATTGGTGGACGATCGGGACGATTGGACAATTTGGGAAGAGGAGACGCGATTTTTATAGTTGTTGGCAATCGGTAACTATCGTATCTCCTCTTCCCGAATTGTCCTTTTTTTGTATAAAGAATTACTGATAGGACTAATATTAGTGCTTACTAATAGGCTCCTATTAGTCTTATTAGTTCCAATTACTAAAAAGTTAAGGACTCGCGTCGATTAAGGAAAATTTGCTATATAATAAAAATCGTTCGCGTCGTTCGTAAGCACTGTGTCTACGATAATTGTGATTTTTGAACATTCGTGTTTATATAAATTGATTATAAAATTCATGAGAATAATAGTTTTAAGTATCGGACATGCTGCAAAGTTCAACGAAATTCCTTTTACAATAACGTGTCAATAATCCTTGTGGATCCACGGTCTCGTCAAAGTGGAGTATAATAATTTGTGTGCATGGTACACCTGCACCGATATATGTACATGTGCATGTATATACATATATATATATATACAATATGTACGTACTCTGTTTACCTCTGCTATATGCGCATATGTATACGTATTACTGATACCGCACCATCTACCGATGTACATTAACCTTAAAGCGTGCGATTAACCTACTTCAACCGGGACGGGGAGGTCTATAATAAGCCGAAAGCATTTCTTTGATGTTACTTGGAACAGAAAATATTTCGTTCTAATTATAAAGCGCTAATAATCCATACGGCTTTCATGGATAAATGGTGTGTAACGATCGATTAAAAAAGTGAAAGTAATTCGAAGATACTAAAAAATATGCTCGAGCATCCCTTACTTTTCCACAGCCCTTCTTTGGCAACCTTCGAAGAAGTCTCTACTCATTTTTCAAGTAGTGCATTTTTTAAAAATTATCCTTGCTCCTTATCCAACACTCGGCTTCGTTGGTCGACGGTTTAATTGACCAAAAAATAATCGGTTCGAATCATCGCAGCGAACGATGCAACGCCTCGAGAGCGCATATGTCGCACGCATCGTCGAGTCAAGGTCATAATCAGGTTACGACGAGTCCAATTTGCCCTAAGTCAACGTGTTACGACCTGACAGTTCAAAGGGTGGTTCAGGATTCAAGACTAATTTTAGCGCGAAACCAAATCCGATTCGGCGTTCGTTTTTTCTCACTGATGTTTTTTTTATATCAATTATCGTGATCGCTGTCTGCGATATTATTCGTGCATCGTGGATTGACATAAGCTTGGATTACAGTCGAGCCCGATAATGAAATATTTCCATAATCTCGAGTAGGTTGGCTGAGCATTTTGGCTGAAATAAATTCACGGAAACTCGTCTCTACGCTACGAAAGTTTCGACCGGGATCCTCTCCCTTCAGACTCGCGTTTTCCTCGCATCAAGATTTTATAATTATGCTACGGCTTTGGTAAACGAGCGATACGCTTAGAAATGCCCGTTAGCGACAGCTTAGTTCCGAGGGAAATCGAAAGCAGCGAGTGCGACGCTTATAATCTCTTAACCCTTTGACTACGGGGCGGACTTTGAGACGCGGCAGCCGTGCCATACGGTGGGATACTAATTCACGGCGTGCACCGGGAACGATGAACTTTTCGACAGACGTGCATTCACGAGAGAGTTGGCACTCAGCTTGGAAATTGACAATTTGGAAAAAGGAGGCACGATTAATCGAGCTAGCGGCTCCTTTTTATAGGTATTGACGATCGTCGAGTATAAAAAGGAGTCGCGAGGCTCCAATAATCGTGTCTCTTCCTAAATTGTTCATACATTTTATATGTATAATATTATATTAATTACTATTACTATATTAATTATAATTATATTAATAATAGTTATTATAATACTATTATTACTGTTATTATTATATTAATTATTATTATTATTATTATACAATTAACTTTTATTACTATTATTGTACTATTATTACTGTTATTATTATTATAATACTATTATTACTGTTATTATTATTATTATAATACTATTATTACTGTTATTATTATTATAATACTATTATTACTGTTATTATTATTATTATAATACTATTATTACTGTTATTATTATTATAATACTATTATTACTGTTATTATTATTATTATAATACTATTATTACTGTTATTATTATTATAATACTATTATTACTGTTATTATTATTATTATAATACTATTATTACTGTTATTATTATTATAATACTATTATTACTGTTATTATTATTATTATAATACTATTATTACTGTTATTATTATTATAATACTATTATTACTGTTATTATTATTATTATAATACTATTATTACTGTTATTATTATTATAATACTATTATTACTGTTATTATTATTATTATAATACTATTATTACTGTTATTATTATTATTATACTATTATTACTGTTATTATTATTATTATAATACTATTATTACTGTTATTATTATTATTATAATACTATTATTACTATTATTATTATTATTATGGAAGCTGAGGGTGAGTTAGGCAGAATTCACTGTACATTCAAATAATCGAAACACTGAATACCACTGCAATATTATTTATTTCTTTGCATTCCGCACATTGTTAGCGGTACGCACTAATAAATTTAACATAAACATTAAGCTCTTTGATCGATAACATTTTTCGGGCGCCCATGGGCGCCTCTCGCGTCGGTGGACCGAACTAGGTTAAGCGTCTATAGGCGCCTACAGTATCATAAACGCAAGTTTTCTAAGCGCCTTTGGGCGTCACCGGTGGTCAAAGGGTTAAGGGGCTGTATCTCTATTTAGTAAACCACGGACGACCGTTTTGCAACTCAAAGTTATGTAAACACCCGACGCACGGCATCTGATGCGGGGATTTTCAAATGTTTATTTGGTCAGAAATGGTGGTGGACACTCGACGATAAAAATTAAAAAATAAATGGGAAAGAAACGAACTACGCTGTTTATTATTTCCGTCCAACAAATCATTATTTCTAATCGTTGGTGTTCGGTTGACAGTTCTTGTTTTTATTAATATCGAGTTATTTCGAGCGTTGCTACGACCGACAAGGAATTTCGAAAGGAATATTTTTCGTTCTTTAATGCATTCAATATGTCGAAAACATTTTCGATTAAGCAACATTTCAGGTTAACAACTTGTAACTAGATCGGTGTACAGAAATTGACACGCACAAACACACACGCGTACAAGCTAGATCGGTGTACAAAAATTGACACACAGCAACTAGAAGAGGCTCGGCAACCGAGCGCACAGTAATTAACGTCTTATCTTTCGAAGGGCACAGTAACTCGCTCAGCAACTGTCCTCTGCGTATTTCATTGATGAAGAAAGACTCGCATAAGAAACGCCAGCATATAATTGAAATATTTTCAGAGGTGCGAAACGCGATTCAATTCGTCGGAAACTTCGGACGCGACTTGAACGCGACACAGTAATCGGGGCGCACTTACCCCGTCGTGGTGCGCGCAACACCGTAGCGTTATCGAGACACGAACACGAGGGCACTGGGGAGTAATTTTATGTACGAGCCTGTTCGAGCATACCGCGGACGCGGAAAATATGCGGTGCGCATATTCTCGAACGTTTCGATGCATATGTACGCGAGTGGAGGGCGCGTGCGCGGCTCCTGCAATTTGTAGCCGCACACGCAAAAGTACGCAGCAACGACGGACGCCTCTCGGACACGGCCGAGATACACGAGCTGCATTTGCATCCGCGGGATAGTTTTACACCTGAATGCCCGCGTTTTTTTCCCTTTATCGCCTGGTAACGTACGCACCCGGCGAGCGTATTTATGTTCGCCGCGCCGCGCCGTTTGGCCCGAGAAAACGTACGCCGCCGCGGAACTACTGTCCGCCGCGCGCGGATTTACGTTTCACCGTGGCCGCCGGAATTTATTAAACCGGCAATTAAGATCGCACCGAAGGCCCGCGGATTTAATAGTCTCGGCTTGATCCCCGCGCGAGCCAACGCGGGCCGGACCTTGCCGAGGGAACGCGCGTCGACGGTTCAATCCTCCAGTATTCTCCAGCACGGTCATTCGCGGCACATGAGAAACAGTTCCCGCGCCAGGATAACTTGCAATGCTGTTTGCGGAGATTATTCGGCGTAGCAGGGGATGAGGAAGACCGGGGGATGTCGTGCGCTGTTATTAAACCTAGCCCTTAGCGTTCGCTTCCAGATTGCTGTGTCTCTCGTTTTCGCTGTCTGCGAGGCTGTCGCAAGACCAGTCTGCTGCCCGTGGGCTTCTTCGGTGACGTGGAAACGCTTTTATTTTAACGCGGGACACGAGTAAGAATCCTGTAATTGGCACGGATCGCTCGAGATCGCGATCATTGATCGCTTCGATGCGCGAAGCCGACGAATTAAGCGACCATTTTCCGAGCGAGAAATCGTCGATGTTCGAGATACGGTATGTTCTCTGTAATTGACGCTCGGTTTGGGAACGAAAATGGAGAATTTGGGAAGAGAAGGCACGATTGCTCGAGCCTCGCAGCTCGTTTTTATAATCGTTAACAATCGGTAACTATGAAAATGAGTCGCGAGGCTCGAATAATCGTATCTTCTCTTCTTAAATCGTCCATTTTCGTGGACAATCTCAGCGTCAATTACAGAGACATTACCGTATAATAAATTCTCTCCACTCGTCCCTCGGCTTGTGAACAAAAACGGACAATTTGCGAAGAGCAGATACAGGTCGTTCTACTTTTGGAATACGGATTCCTAGGAAACTGTGTGCTTAATGGATTCGACGACATTACTCGAACCGATAGGAGGATAGCAAAGTTAATTTAAAAGTTGTTTCCGAACTTCCGATTCTCGCGTAGCTCCGAATTTCTGCCATAACCGGGGAAAGTAATGTTAAATAAGTAAATCTTTGAGTTTAAAGTAGTTCACGTGCCGTTCGCTATCAACTGCCGAAGTCCTGATTCCGAATAAATACCACAAGTGGTTCGATCCAAAAGGAGGACAGCGCTATGTACGCTGGGAATCGATGGAACAAGCGAATCGGCGCAGCGTTATGAACTTAATGCTAACAATGCGTCCGAAAAGTACTCGCTTTTGCCTCGCCAAATCGTAGACATTCGAACGACTCCTGCGAGGTTTAAGATATCTTTTTTGGAAGTCTGTTTTGAGAGAGAGAGAGAGAGAGAGAGAGAGAGGGAGATGAGTTTGTTGAGGGAAATCTCGTTGTACTTCGCGCAAAAAGTGAGCCGCCGGCATTCGGGGTCAGTACACCACGGACGAGTTTGCACGGTCCGACTGTATGATTTGTATGCACATATTATTGTACGTATGCGTATCCGTGTACGCGCAATGTGTTTGCTTAGTGTGAGTTTCGCGGGTGTATATAGAGCGTGTTCTGTTCATATGATTAATGTGTGCGTAGTGCGTGTTTCGCGTATCTGTTGTGCGTGTTTATTGCCTGTGTACCGCAAGGTGTGACAATATCGTGTCGGCGGGCCACTTGACATTTAAAATGCGATGAAACACCGAAAAATCTCCTATGTAAATTCTCCTCTAACCGTCCAAACTTCGCTGTTCGTTGGAATTTTGAAATGCCTGAGAGGAGAACGAGCAGTTTCAGCTTTCCGTTCCGTTTCGCAACGGTACAGAGTCTTCGCAAAAAAATAAGTTCGAAGCCATAAAAGTAGAGGCTTCGCCCTTTAAAATGAGCTCGGAGGAATTGCTGTACGATTTTTTCCCGCGAAGATACGACGGCTTCGAATATCGACAATTTTTTGGTCCAGAAAATGCTTGTAATAATACCGTAGATTTTTTGTTAGAATAGTTTATTACATATTATATATTAAACATGTAAAACCGAAGCGAACGGAACATCAAATCGGTGAATCATAACTGAGATTCGATGAACAAATAGTCATGAACATTGTTGGTATCGGTAAACTGCGGAAGTTTATGTATACTCACGAAACAGCAAATACGCAGGCTAGGTAAATACAACAATATGCAAACTGCATGCAAGTTTTGTATTAAATACGTGCGCTATGGATTTTGCAAATATGTATTTACTTCCGTGGATATTAGAAAAAATTCATAAAATTGTGTTCGGCCGATGTATTTGAAGAACACAGATATGTATTTAGTATTGTATAATTTAGTATTTATATCTAAACATTTATATCTAATTTAGTATTTATATTTACTATCAATTAGATATGTATTTAAATACAAATAATAATACTAAATAATACTAAACAATAAATAATAAATACTAAATAATAATAATAGAATAATAGAATAATATTATATATTTATTCATATAATATTATTCTATTATTCTATTATTATTATTCTATTCTTATTTTTACAATTAAGACTTCATTCATTCGGTTCATTGCCCTAAAATATGAATTCGCATAAATTTGCACGGTCTAGTAATTATTACCAATCAAAAATAATAGAATACAGTCAGATGTATCAGATTATTGCAAAATAATGCATCTATGAGATCCAAATTATCTTTCTGGCAGTCGGAAAATATCGCTGGGATCTATGTACATGTTCCTCGCGCAGCGTGGAAAGAGTTAAAGTTCTATCGGAATCGCTATGAAATGGATCAGAGCTGTCCGCTAACTACTTAGGCTCGATGAGATTTCCTAGTTCATAGACTCCGGCCGGGTATTACAGACAGCTTGCCGACTAACAATGTGTTATTCAAACTCGCGGCCGTAGCCATCATTAAACTATCGTTTCGAAACTTAGTTTCTCACGAGCAGAGGGCAATTTCGCGAGCACGTCGAATCAAATCTGCTCCTCAACCGTGGCCTGTTCACGCGCAATTTCGCGGCTACGGACGCGCGGTAAGTTCCTACCTAACGGCATTAATATGCACAGCCTACGCACTCCTCGCTAAACGCTTGTAAACGCGTGCAACCGCGTCTCTATCGAACTAGCTCGTTCTCGCGTATTCGTGACTGCGAGATTTTCCCGGCCCGGAAGGGCTTTGTGCTTCGAAAAATACTTCGATAAATACTTCGAGTGGTTCCTCAGGTCATTTGAAGCAACTTTTTCCTTTGCAAAAATGCAATACGACGCTTCGTCTACGAGTTATTAGCGAAAAACGGTGACCGGTGAGAGATCGCTGACGCCACGCCCTCGCGACCAGTGCCGCTGCGTCGAATGGCCAGCGCGACGCATGGGCGGAGCGCCGGCCGCACTCGCGCTACAATTGGTCCGCGTTTTTCGTTAATAACTCGCAAACGAGGCGGCGGATTGCATTTTCGCAAAGGAAAAAGTTGCTTCAAATCGCCTCGGGAATCCCTGGATTCCAGATTGCGAGGCATTTTTGCGACACAATGTAGAAACGATTGTAGTCTTAATCAATGTTAACAGGACACTTCGTACCTTTCTTCAGTTAATAAATAACCTTGAAAATACAAAATTTGATGGTTCCATTCTTCAGCTATATTTCGAACGTTGATAATTACAGTAAATTCTCTTCAATGAGTTCAGCAACTATAAAAACGAGCCGCGAATTTACTGCAACGCTTTCGGTAGAAGCAATTAGCATTCCGAGCTCGAGCAGAGTGAATTAATACACCGGGTTAGGCTGGGTAAGCTGAAAAGTGAAACGGTCGACGAATACCCACGAGGAACATCGTAAAAATCAAGATTCTTATATGAAACGCGAGCACAGAGGAGATGTGCGCTTCTCTCAGAAAGTTCGTGCGATACAATATCTGTTACTTTATTATGAGTTTCACTTTGGCTCGCTTTCTTTTCGTTCCTTCCCGACGAGAAATATTCGTTTCAGCTTTCTGCGAGCGTTTCATGCTTTTGCCCGGCGAAACGAAATACGAGAAAGACTGGAGAAATTATTTTAGATTAGGCAAAGAGAACGCACGATCGTTCGCGAGCCTGGCGGCTTGTTTCCATAGCCAATTTTTTCTAGCATAATCTAAGCGTCGATTTGGAAGAGTTCACTATAACTTCGGAGCCCGATTCCTACGATTTAAAACGCCGCGAGCGATAATGCGTGCGCGTCGCGGTTAAACGCAAGTTAAACAGAAGCGATCGCCGTTGTTAAACCGAACAGCAGTTATTTTAAAGCGCAGCGGACCTCGGCCGCGGCGAAACAAAGGTCTGTAAATCGATTATAAATTAGTATTGTTACCGTAACCGATCTCCCAGCGGTATCCGAGCAGCCGTGACGTGGCTGAACAAACGGCAAAGCTGTCAGCGAAATATCGTAAACGTTATCAATTCTCCAAAGCGTCGAACTAATTACACCGGCGTACACTAATTGCGGATCGATGAACGCACGAGTCTTGAAGCGCTCGGTACACACCGGCTTAGAGATCAGAAGTGCCCGATGGGTTGCGCGCGAGTGTTTAGGCGTGTACGCGGCTCGCGCGCGTTCTATGGGGATCGACGCGCTCGCTCGCGATTTCTCCGCGCTCCCGTGATTTCTCTGTGCCCTCGTGATTTCTCTGTGCTCTCGTTCGGAGATGGTAATTGTGCGCGCACCCATACCACCGTAAAATCGTACGTGAACCATTAGCTC